GTGGAGACGGCGGACATAGCCAGACCTTCGGAGCGCTGACTGGACTGGGGTCAACGCGGTCCGCTGTGACTCTCTGAGAGTCAAAGCGGTCTGGGCTATCAGAGGTCTGATGTGTTGGAGCACGTGGTGCACTGCGGACCCTCCTCAGGAGTAGGGTCCCAGTGGCGATGCAGCCATAGCTGCATCTTCTCAGAGATATCATCGTCTGGACTTCATCTTCATCAGGAACTGTTGGCGCTGGACTTCTTTTTCATCATCTGGGTGGCGATTGGCTCTGGGAGCCTGTTTCACTTTGGCGCAGGCCACTGAGTTGGATGTCAGGGTGGCGCTGGGTGTTACCTGGGGTTTCGGTGCTATTTTTAGCTGTTCCGGGTGGTGGGGTTGAGGCGCTACCCCTCGGAGGGTAGCGCAACAGGGTTCTGAGGTTATTCAGTGAAAACGATGCTCTGAGTTTAATAAACAGTTGTAATACTGTGTTCGAGTTGTCATCTCTTCATTGATTTCTGGCTGTGATCACTCGGTTGTCTTCTATGAATGATTGTTGGGATCTGTGTGGAGAGAATTCACAGTTTGTGTGTTCTGTCACTTCGCTTCTCGGAGTCTTCCGCTGCGTTTCTTTCTGTTGGGCGGTGTGATACTCCACTACCTCTCCCCTTCCTTCTGTGCATGTATGGGCGTGTACGGGAGTTCCTGTGAGTGAGTGTTGATAAAATTTCAACAGACGATCATGTTGATAACATATGGATACAATTTAGATGCGTGAAAGACTGGATACGTGCGTAGATGAGGTGGCATGTCAATCACATACGAAGGACCAAATGCATCATCCCCTACCACCTTCAGAACCTTCTAAGGACCATAGTACAGAGGAAGAAGTTTACGTGACACTCCCTCTAATTCTGAGAACTCAGACATCTTAACCCAGGCATAACTTCCCACCCCGAATGGCGCAGGTCTGCGCTTCTTGTTAGCGAATTTAATCATGACATGCAGTCGCTTGTTCATTGCTGCAACAGCAACTTTGAGTAAGCGTCCATGCTTGGCATTGTAGCCAGGCATGCCAGGTGTCAGACTCGGCAATCGATCAGGAAACAAGAAGGAGAGGGGATTGTGAATCTGCCAACCGTAGTGCAACCTATTTGGTGTGTCATTCCGGTGGCAGAGTGAATAGAGTTGTTGTACAACCTCTTCACTGCATGCAACTCTTCATCCCACGGGATCTGGAACAATAAGAGCACGGAGAAGTTGTGTAACAGTCTGGTTGATCCTGGTCACTCACAAGAGTTTTCGGGGAGCGATAATGCAGAATGTACTTCTGATGGAACTCATCAATCACGAGGTCAGTGGGGGCATGAGGTGGCAAAGGAATCAGATTCAGAAGTTTGGAGAATGGTCGACGATCATGATGACTTGTGAATACCCTCCCTCACTTTCCTTTCCCATGTTCGTGAAGTCGATAGAACTGACTCTCTGGGACCGTCAGGAATGGGGACAGGTTTCCGCAGGCCACGGCTTTTGCCTAGGAGCCTTGAGTCGTTGACAAACTTTGACACTCAACCACAAATTTCTGAGCGGATCCTTTCATTCCACGCCAATCAAATTGCTTCGAAAAGACTTTTGTAAGTCTTCTCAAAATCGAAGTGGCCATGAGCCAACTTCATGGTTGGGTACACAGAAGCCGCCAAACTTCCAGTAGCATCGAATAACAGACCGTCACACTCGTGAAAATCAGGCCGACTGTTGGGTTCAGCCTTGAGCTGCTCAAGGATGGGACTGATGTCTGGATCCTTGGCAGTGTGCTGGACTAACTCCAATTTCTTCTGGAGGTCGTAGGAGCTCACAAGGCAAGTCAAATACTTGGGATGGCGAGACAAAGCATCAATGACTCGATTATAATAAAATCATAGACATCGATTTCATGCAACTGGCGGGACAACGTTGTGGATAAGTTAGCCTGTGACTTGATCCACTGCAAAGTCTCATGATCTCAAAAGACTTGGAGTTTGGCACTTGCATTGTCCGAGTAGCGCAAGTGATGGTAATCCTTGTGACTCTCTTATTTCTTCTGGACAACGACAGTCACGGGCTAGTTAGGCACCTTTTTTGTTTTTTATTTTTTGTTTAACCCAGAACAACGTCACTAGGGGGGGTGATGTGAGTAACCTCCCCTAGTGCGCGTTCCGGATGCTCCGTTCTATTGGTGGGGAGCCGCACCTGCTGGAAAACGGGTCTAGCGTCCCATTTGAAAAATTTCACCCTTCATTCTTTAGGGTGACGACAGCCACTCATATGTAAAGGCTTCCTTTTGGTTGTGATCATGCACTCGCGCCCTTCACTTCAACTACCATCCACAATTTCACCTCACCTCAACTTCCCCCCCAGTCCCCCCTCCTTTCATGCACAGTTAGAATCCTTACAGAAAACCATGGAAAATGAGGTACAGCATAAGGTAGGTAGTTCCCAACTGACAGAGGCGGGTGCTGACTTATCACTTGTTGACATGGCACTTATGCTGACATGGACGCTTGATGGACCCAACCGCTCAGCTGGTAGTGAGAGCGGATCCTGCTTTGATATCAATGTTGTGATTTGCCGGACTCCAAAGAGTTTTAACATCCTGAAAGCAAATCACAATTCATTACAAACTTCATACCAAACTTGTATTTTAGTGGCACACTAGCACACTTTATGAAAACGAGAAAGAAAAGACCAGTTGTGTGCTAGACTGCTGTGAGCAGCCCACAACAAACCGCACTGAAATAACACTGTATAGTCCCGGAGCGCATTGGGTATGGCTGCACCCTTACTCTCTCCGTGTCAATGCTGAAAATAGTGCCACCGCTTCCTGTCATTCCAAAGCTTTTGAATGGAAAAGCTAAGTGAAGTTTGCTACTGCCTTGCTGCTTTTGTCAAATTGATTCTGCGTGGGCCTACTTGGTCCTACCAGCCTCTAGTCTAGGGACAGTTAACGCTGCCTCTACCTATAGGATCTAGATTTGAGTTCTTTGCCTGAGCCCAACATAGAGAGCTGTAGAGGTCTAAACCACTCCGTGCCCCAGGCAAAAACGTAACGCTCAGAAAATACATCGACAACTTTTGGGGTTCGAGGCTATTGGACCAAAATGCCAGGCGCCGCCAACCACAATACACCCGCGCCAGTTCATTTCTTTTTTGGTGCGCTGCACAACCAGCTTCGTGAAAAAGAGGTCTGGACGTAGAACATAGTGATGGTTTAAGCACTAATGGCATAAACCTTTCAGTAGCATGGATTTCAGAGCAATTCATTTCATCATATAAATGATAATTTATCCAGTGCATGCAGCTAAACATGTGAGGTAGATTTGTGGTTCTTCTTCCCTGCTGTGTTATTCTTTCTCCATGGCATTAGTGTGTTTTGGTGGTTGTCTTCTTTCTCATGTGTCGTCATCTCTTTCCCCTACCCACTCTCGTATCCCCATCTGCCTCTCTTGCCTTGGGGGCAAAGTGGCAATTGGGCCAATTGTGCTGCATGAAAGAAAATGGACCTCCACTCCGATACCCGCCAAATGTGAAATATGGGAAGTGTATCCAGCTTTGATGAAAAGGTATGCATACCACTTGTCACATTTGGTACGTAGTGCGGTGATGCCCAACAAGTTAAACCACCACTACCTTTCCAGTACATCGGCTGCGGGGAGGGTTCCCGCTCGTCCTGCAGGAGGCCAAAACGAAACGGCGGCCGCTAATGAAATTTATCAACGGCAGCCACTGTTGGGCCCGGTCCCTGAAGCATGCGGTATAGGTTATATTCCCCGACACTGTGAAAGGTACTGGCAGTTTAAAAGAGAACCATAATAGCGGAGTTTGTTGGTTCAGTTTTCACCTACTTTTTAGAGCCCTCATGGGTCGTTTTCTTGTTAATCTTGTGGAACCAGGGCAGCTGGCGAACTTGGGATGTCTGACGGAAGCTGTCTAACTAAGATGGTTTTTCATGGTTTTGCTGTGCAGAACTCGATAAATTGCTGGAAGATACTCCCATCCCTCATGTGTCACAACATGCTGCAAAGTTGGCAGGCATCAGGAAAAGAGTGGTGGCGTTGACATCAACACTACGTCTCATTCAGGTATGTGCGTACCTCCGTTTTCTCAGTTTGGCCATCCATTTTCTTCCTCAGTCTGGGTAATTGGCTGTAAATTGGTACTTTATTATCTTCCTCTGTTTCTGAGTTTGAATTCTCTTCTGCCCAAGTTATGGCCGTTAATGAGCAGTCAAGTTGAGTCAACAGCTTTTTCTCTGTTTAGAGATCTTGACAGCTGGAATTTCGAAGTCTTAAAACCACTACTGCCACTGATGCCTAAAACCTCTGCAATTTCCGCAATCTGATTGCCCGCGGGGTGGGCTGGTAGGGTCAGTCTCAGGAAGTTGCCTACAGGAAGGCAGTGGATTTTAGAAAAATCTCGAGGGCGCCGACTTTTGGGATTTTCGTGCTCAGGATTTTCGACGAAATGGTGGTTTAACAGCATGATTGGAATAGAGCCCACATAACAGTGCAGACAGTTTTTCCTCTCCTATTGTTAATCCTCGATTTTCGTGCTCAGGGTTTTTGACGAAATTGTGGTATAACAGCATGATTGGAATAGGGCCCAAATAACAGAGCAGACAGTTTTCCCTCTCCTATTATTAATCCTATTCTGTTGATTGTATGCTTGCAGTGATGGTAATGATGGACAGGCTATTCAAATATTGTCAGAAAATTGGATGGGATTTAGGTTCATCATTGTGTAGTTCACTCATGAATTGATTCCAGCCAGATTCACAGACCATGCATTGTGAAAAGGTTCTGCGGATATTGAAAAAGACTCCTGTTTTCTCCCCCTGAAAAAGACTTCCAGGTATGCCCATACATACACAGAAGGAAGGGGAGAGGATAGGAGTATCACACTGCACAGGGAGAGAGAACACAGTGGAAGACTTAACCATGCGATATGACAGGGTACACTGAAAGTGCAATTCACTCCACTCAATCCTCACAACCAGTCGTAAAGAAAAGCCGAGCAGATCACATCCAGGAAACAATGAAACGATGATAGTCCAAACCCAGGTACACATTGTTTATTAAACTCCGAGTCTCGAATTGTCAGGATAACTTCAGAACTACAGTGCGCTGCTCAGAAATGAGCAGCGCTTCACTCCCCAACCCTGATCAGCACCCGTAACACCCCTGAGCCCCTGAAACATCAAGCGCCACCCAGATACAGCCTCCACAGGGAAGCGCCACCCTGAAACAGGGCTCTGAGGCCAAGCGCCACTCGGAGGATGAAAAAGAAGACCAGCACCACAGTATCTGATGATGACGAAGTGTCGGAAGACTTCGCGGGTGGAAGTCTGCAGCAGCGCCACCAGACCCTGACAAGATGACCTCTGAGCATGAAGCTGCAGCTATGGCTGCAGCGCCACCACCCTGGAACCCCACTCCGGAGGAGGGTCCAGCAGGGCACCAACTTCTCTCGCCTCCAGCAGACCTCAATAGCCCAGACCTCTGTCAGCCCCTGCATGCTGGCAGATTACAGCGCAGGTCCCAGCTATGGCCGGCGCTCCGAAGGTATGGCTATGCCTGTCTCCTTCAACGCTGAGCCGTCACCACTTCCGGTTCACGCGTAGCGCAGCAGCGATGTACTCGGTACCAACTGCCAAAAGCCCTGAACCGATGTGCCCATTCTATCTATAGACTAACCTAGCCTAGACTCGACCTAGACCGGACTGACTGACCGACCGGTACTGTTTCTGTTTCGGCCTCTCGGCCTCTACTGGACCCGGCTATAGGCTATAGGACCGTCTATTGGAATAGGCCCTTAGGGCCTGTCTGTCTTAGGGGTAGCCCGGGCCTGCTAGTCGCAGTTAGGGTAGCGGTAGGGAATTCTGTTAGTACCGGGCCTGCGTTTTCCCCGAATTTGCAGATATGTCCCTCACAAATTTCCCTCACAGGTAGGTCTCTCGGTTAGCCCTCAGCCAAACAAAATTATGAATCTATCCTACCTATAGTACAACCTCGACAGAGAGAGGCTACAGGCAACCAGAAAACAGGAAGTCATTGCATTATCTTAGACAGAAGAATGTGTCAGCAGGGAATCTGGCCTTGGCAGCTGAGGTTGAGTGCAAAGTTATGGCCAAACAGGAGGATGAGGAGAGAGGTACTTGCTGTTTGCTGCAACAATGCATGATAGCTGGCACATTTTAGAAAGCAATTGACAAACACCTAGAGAGGAAAGTTCACATCTTCCAGGAAAGGAGGTGGAGAAAATAGGGAACAAGCAAGGTGAAGAGGGGGGTGGAGAGAGGGAGCGACAGAGGCAGGGGGTGAGGAGAGCATGGACAGAGAAAGGTGTTGGTGAAGCATATCGTCATTCTTTCTTGGAGTCGGAAGCTCTTAACCCATGGATTTGCTGTCCCACCCTGTCATGGTCCTTGCGTGGTCCTGGAATGGCAGGCTCATGTACAGGATTTGCAATTTTATTTGCCCGTGTGCCCGATCATAAACCAGATTTTGCTATGGCTGTCTTTGACGCTCACAACTCACATTCTTTTTCAGTTGTAGAAGTTAGTATGGAATTTGTGATTTTGTGCTTTACTGTACCTATCCGGCAGCAGTTAATGAATGTGTGGGATTACATTGTTGTTTTCTATTTCAGGCACGAATTGGGAGCATGAACTCAATCCTAAACAAAAAAGGTAAGTAATCAACAGCAAAGTTTGTCTCTTCGCCCTCCAGCTTCTTTTTGTCATGTCAGTCTGTCATCTGTGTTTGTGTGTCTGTGTGTCTGTGTGTCGGTCTTTCGGTCCACCGATTCGTCTGTCTGTCCGTCCATCGTCCCTGCCCTGTTCTGCACGTCCTCTCCTGTCCTCTCCTGTCCTCTCCTGCGTTGTTCTCCCCTGCCCTGCCCTTGCCTTGCCTTGCCTTCTTTGTCTGTCTGTCTAGTTGTTTGCTTCATCGCCCTTACTTGCCAGTCAGTGCATCTCAACGCATACATGTTGTTCATGTGTTCACCCATCTGCTTGTTCACTCATCAGACTGCCAGTCAACCCAGTCTTCACAGTCAGCTGCGCATTTGTCTATTGGTCAGTCTGTTGGGGTCATACCGTTTGTCCATTTATCCTTTTCTCTGAATGGGCATGACCTTTCATGCATGCTGAAGCTCTGTTGCCTTCCTCTGTCCCTCAGAATTTGTATCTCACCCTTGCATGGTTTTGCATTGTTCTAAGGTCCTGGTGTTAAAGACCAGAGAGGAAAGACTGATAGTTCAGATGAAGGACACCATTAGGACATGTAGGGTTTAGTTAAAAAGAAGGAAAATGTGTAGAAGTTTCAGACTGAGATTTAGAGGAAGTAAAGGCAGATACCAAGTAGTGCACTAGGCACTCGGGTTATTAGGACAAAAGAATGTTAACAGATCCTCTAGTATTCAAGATTTACATTGCTGCTGAAATTTTGAATACTCCTCCCCAAATTGAAATGAGTCAAGTACTCGTCAAGTTCAACCTCGCATACATCAATGAGCATTCACATGAGAGTTCACGCGTCAGAAGCCAAATCGAGATACAATCAACACTTGACCATGTCGTCTCCAATACTACTATCAATATAGAAAAATGCTCGGCTCCAGCGGCTCTGCCGCACACACACGCATCGGATCTCGACCAGTTAGCGTCTATGGCTTCTCCCCTCTTCTCTCTCTCTCTATCTCTCTTCTTGGCTCACTCTGCCTCACTGTTACATTCCCAATTGGGCGATGTACACATAGACCGAGGATCCGCAATGTGATAAAAAGGACTGAATGGACAATGCAGTGCAAGTGGAATCTCAACAAGCAATGTGCATTCCGATACATACAAAATGGTGTTTTA